CGCTAGAGAATAGTTGATGAGGAGGTTGGGAAGCTCCTCGCAGCCGATTTCATTAGGGAGGTCCATTACCCGAGCTGGGTGGCTAACCCCGTTCTGGTAAAAAAGGCCAACGGTAAGTGGCGCATGTGCATCGACTATACCGACTTGAATCGAGCTTGCCCAAAGGATTGCTTCCCACTTCCTAGAATCGACCGTTTGGTGGACGCGACCTCAAGACACGAGTTGCTGAGCTTCCTGGATGCTTATTCGGGCTACAACCAGATCAGAATGGACCCTGCCGATGAGGAAAAAACGGCCTTTATAACTGAGCTTGGGCTGTACTGCTACAAGGTCATGCCCTTCGAATTGAAAAATGCTAGGGCAACTTTTCAAAGACTTGTAAACCAATTGTTTGAGCCGTTGATTGACAAAAAAGTAGTGTTATGTAGACAACATGGTCGTCAAAACTCAATTTTCAAATTATTTAATAAAAGACTTATCTTGTGTTTTTCAAATTTTGCGTAAGTACAATATGAAATTAAATCCCAACAAATGCATCTTCGGTGTCACTTCGGGTAAGTTCCTGGATTACATCGTTAACCGACGCGGTATCGAGGCCAACCCCGAGAAAATTAAGGCAATCCTAGACATGAGACCGCCCCGAAAATTGAAAGAAGTTCAAAGGTTGAATGGCCGAATAGCCGCTCTGAGCTGTTTCATGTCTAAATCGGCAGATCGCTGCCTGCCTTTCTTTAAAGCAATTAAGAAAAGCAAAGACTTCGGTAAATCGAGTGAGGAGGTAGTCAGTTCGGTACTAATAAAAGAGGTAGATCGGGTTCAACTACCCATCTACTATGTTAGTAAAGTTTTGCAGGACGCAGAAACGAGGTATCCAAAAATCGAAAAGTTAGCGTATGCGCTAGTCATTGCAGCTCGGAAGCTTCGGCCATACTTCCAGGCTCATACCATCGCCGTCCTCACCAACAAACCTCTGAAGCAAGTCTTGCTCAAGCTCGAGGTTTCTAGCAGATTGATGAAGTGGGCCATCGAGCTCAACGAGTACGACATCCAGTACAAGCCCCGAACTGCCATCAAGGCCCATGCCTTGGCCGACTTTGTCGCGGAATGTATCTTCAGCGTTGTAGTCCTTGAGTTGATCGAGCCCGAGCACGGAGATGCTTCAACCAGTGTGGCACCACTCCTTGTTGGAAGAAACCCGACATGGGATGAGGAGCCCTGGATCCTTCATGTGGATGACTCGTCAAATCAGCAAGGTAGCGGAGCTGGAATCATTTTGTACGGGCCAAGCAGGGTGAAACTGGAGTATGCACTTCGGTTCGAGTTTGCTGCATCCAACAATGAAGCAGAATACGAAGCATTGATAGCCGGGTTCGCCTTAGCAAGCGAAGCACGAGCTAAACACCTCATTATCTGCAATGATTCCCAGCTCGCGGTGAACCAGGTCACCGGTGACTATGAAGCCTGCGAACCGACCATGGTTGCTTACTTAGCCAAAGTCAGAGAAGCTCTACGCGACTTCCAATCCTACTTCATCAGGCAAATCCTGAGGTCTGAGAACACTGAGGCCGATGCCCTATCCCGATTAGCCAGCACAAGCGCCAACACCATGAGAACTGTGTACATAGAG